TCTGAAAAAAACAATCTGTTGGACCTTCTCTCCCTCCCCCACTCCATTCTACCTTTCAAATAAATGAACATGAAATCATGCTTATAGGTTCACAGACTGGCTGTGCAAAGTTTGAAGTGTTGGGTACAATCTTGAATTTCCTTCTCCACTTGAAAAATCAAAAGCAGGTAAATTTTTAAATCAAATTGGGTTTTCAGCCAGTGCCTTCTTTTCTTAGACAGGTGTAAAACTCGGCCTCAAAGAAAAAGGATACAGAGGTCCTTGAGCTACATATGAACAGAAAAGTTGGCAGTAAGGACCTATTTTATTTTCATTCCTGATCATTGCATAGTAATTTTCCCACTTGCACAGTGAGGGGGAAGAAAAAAAGGGAGCCAGGCTTTTTAAAAATAATCGTTAAAAGCCCAAGAGATGTGATACTTAGAGAAGTTCCCTTGGAGGTTTTAATGCTAAACTCTGTTGTGTAAATGCTTTAGGGGTTGAAGAAGGAGGATGGCGGAAAGGTGAAAGGCTGCAAATCAGGCACCCAAACAGCTCTACTCTGCAGGCACTAGCTCTCTCCTTAAAGACCATGGTCCAAGCCTGGTCCTTGGCTGGTAGGGACCAATTGATGGTATCCTGCAGGGTCCCCCAACAGGCCAGTGAAGGAGGAGAGCATTCACTATCTTGGTGAAGTTGGAAATCCCCTACTCTATTGTTCTCAACTTAGCACCTTTTAATTGTTCTCGGTTCTCCACAGGGCAGGGTCACAGATAGGTGGGTGTGGAGAGAACTGATCATATGATCAGTCTTAAAGCCTCCTGGAATCCATTTAATGTCCAAAGCAGATAAAAACTCTCAATCCTTTATTTTAAGTACAGATCTTTGCCTTATGAAGAAGCAAGGTAAAAATAGGTTGAAAACTGTAGAAAACCCAACTGATTTTAAACTGTAAGGGGGATTTATACTGTTAAAGGAGTGACAGGCAGATGGGTAAGGGATGGGATTGGGGGCAGTAAAACTCTACCAGATGACATCAGATCAAACTGGCTCTCTTTCTAAGGGGCTGTGTATGGGTTCAACAATTGCCTGGTCATTGGCAGAAGGTGGAAAATTCCATTTGTTAGCCATAAACCGGTTATTAGAGAATGACATGAATTAAGTGAGCTTCCAAGTGTTATTGTCACTGTACATCAACAACATCCATCTTAATTCACTCTCAAGTCATGCAATGGACAAAGATTTTCTCCTTAACCAAACCCTAGCCAGACTCCTCTGAGCCCTCTTCTCAACTCTGCCTCAAACTTTGCCTATGAAAACTGCAGAGTCAACAGAGATCAGACATGAGTTCATATACCAGATCCCACTGCCATGCCATTAAAGCTACTCAGCGAAAAAAAAAATTTTTTTTTGAAGAAAATTCAAATCCAGCATTCCTGTGGCACAGAAGACAGATAATCAGGTCATCAAGTCCAAGTGTAAATTTGAATCTTTCCATTGTGTGTTTAACACACATGGCTCTTAATGGCTTTTCAGTGGTGCACTTGAGGTGGAAGGAAGCTGTCACTGACCTGAGCTCATAAAACAGAGATTCCAGGGGCCTGGGCTAAGTAACTGCACGATTCTCTAAGTAACATTTTACAGTTCTGTCCCATTCAGTGGCTATGTTCTGGTCTTATCTGGAATGAAGGAAACTCAACCTATCTTTTGCTTACATGATCAAAACTGCTATAGCATATTGTTCCCAAAGTCAGCTGCTCACAATTCCTTCCATTTGAATAGAAGTGTCCTACTCCTAAAATCCTTTGGCCTTCTCTTGAACCTGGTCTAACCTTTGACATGCTTTGATTAACACTGTGACAAAGATAGTGTTCTGGAAGTCAAGACCTTAAGGTTTTTAGTTTTCACTTTCCACCTCTTGGGATCCTGCTGTCCTAAACAAATCTCAGGTTAGATTATTGAGTGATGAGTGTCTACCTGGGGAGAATGAGACTTGGCCAACTCTCATAATCCAGATCCGAGTGCCTGGGTTCAAATCCAAGCTCATTTTCTGACTCCAGCTTCCTGCTAATGCAGACCCTGGAAGGCAGCAGATGGTGACTCAGGCTCTTGTGTTCCTGCTGCCCCATGGGAGCCCTGGTTCCTTTTGCTTTGGTCCCAGTCTAAGGTCATTGAGGGCTTTTGGATAAGAAATCACCAAACAAGAGCTGTGTCTCTATCTCTTTTCCCTGAAGAAGGAGAAAGAGAAGGAGGAGGAGGAGGAGAGAAGGGCAGGAGTAGAAGGAAGAAAAAAGGAGGAGAGAGAAGGAAGGAGGAATAATAAGAGGAAGAAGAAGAAATGTCTTTTGGAGCCTTGAAAGAAAGCCTCTGAATCATGTAATTGCAGACTGTTTGGCAACACTACCTCCTGCCATAAAGCAGAATAAAAAAATAATTTATGTGTCTTTCTAGAGATATTTTCAGGCAGATTATGCAACTTTTCATGTATATGATAAGGTGTAAAAAATAACATAAAAGTAAGATGACCCAAAGAAATATTTATCCTGCTAGCAGAATTTAAAGGAAAATGTGGAGATTCTAAGACAGCCTCTCCAGTCAGCAAAAATATTCTCAAAGTAAGAAGTTGCTTCAGGTGGTAGCCGCCACAGAGACTCTCTCAATTAGACAAAAGAGCTCCATATTGTCCATAATTTTTAAATTTTCTGTGTATTAATGTTTCTGGCTAAGGAGTGGTTGCTTCTCTCTAGGTCAATTTTTTTTCAAGATTTTATTTATTTATTTATTTATTTATTTATTTATTTATTTATTTATTTTAGAGGTAGAGTTATAGACAGAGAGAGAAACGGAGAGAAAGGTCTTCCATTCGCTGGCTCACTCCCCAAATGGCCACAATAACTGGAGCTGAGACAATCCAAAGCCAGGAGCCAAAGTTTCTTCCAGATCTCTCACATGGGTGCAGGGGCCCAAGCACTTGGGCTATCTTCCATTGCTATCCCTGGCCATAGCAGAGAGCTGGATCGGAAGAGGAACAGCTGGGACATGAATTGGCACCCATATGGGATGCCATCGCCACAGGTGGAGGCTTAGCCCAGTACACCACAATGCAACCCCAATTTTTTATCTTTATTAATTTGAGAGGGAGAAAGGGAGTGAGAGAGAGCAAATAAGCACACTCCCATCTGCTGGTTCACTCCCCAGATGCCCACAATAGCTAGGGCTGAGCTGGGAGTCTAGAACTCAATCCAGATCTCTCATGTAAACGGCAGGGATCCAATTACTTGAGCCATCACTGCTGCCTGCCAGGATCTGCATCAGTGGGAAGGTGGAACTGAGTAGCCCAGGCTGAAATTGGTAGTGGAAACAGAGCTTGAACCAAGGCTCTCGGATTTGGAATGTGGGTGTCCCATGCCTGGTCTGAACCACTAGGTCAAATGCCTGTCCCAAGGACAGCCAATTCTGAGAAGTCACAGCAAGGAACATGCCTTTGATGTACAAACTAACAGGTGCAAAGGCAGGAAAAGGTTCAAAATGGAAACAGGTTTCAATTCTACCAGCAGGAAGTAGTCTAAGAAAGTAAGTCCAAAGTAAATGCAGGGTATTTCTGAGAGGACTGCCACAGAAGGGAGAGCAAAGAGCATCTGAGAACAACAGATTAGGGAAGCACTCAGAAGGAGCAGAGTTACCTTCTACTACAGGTACACTGCATTTCCCAGAGTCAAGAAACAGGTGACACACGCTAGACTGTATTCAGAATCCCCATGGAGTAACGACTAATACATATCCTCATTTCCTCCTTTTTGAACGAAAATATCTATAGTCGCCTTACCCTTTTCTCACAATTATACGTTTGGATAATGTGTTTGGGCCCATTTGGAAGCTCACATGCTTCCAAATCAAAAGAAACTCACATAAGGAGACTCACCCAAATCCAGACCTAACACAAATAGATTCTAATCTTTGAGTCTTTGATGTAATAAAATTCAACTTTTGCTAGATGAGGTGAGTGTATTTTGCATTTGAAAGAGCCAGAGAATAGACTATGGTATATCATTTCCAAGATGATTATTGTTTTTTAACTGTTTTGTGCTAATACATTACACAACAATATATACCCTAAAGAGCTGCTTAAAATGAATGGGGAAAACTGGAAAACACAATTGGTAAGCATATTAAATTCATCTTCAGCACAGCCTTTGTGGTTTTTGTTTGGTTTTATTTTTGGTAACTTTGGACTTCAAAATAGTTTAACTGAATAACAGATTTCCAAGTACCAATGAGGTAATGATTAATGCCAACACATTTTGTACTTAGACAAAACTGATCTTATTCTGAACCCATACAGACATTAAAGCATAGGCCAATGATCACATACTTGGCTATGATAGCTCAATGCAAACTATCATGGTTGCACCAATAAAAAGAAAAATTTGCTAAAAATTATGTGTCATTGCTTATATCCAGAGCATTTCAGTCAAAAATAATTTAGATATTTAGTCAGTTTCCTATAGGTTGTTCTCTCTGTTAAGCACATTTCTTTTTCCTATTCACCAAAATATGACAGATCGAGAATAAATAATTATCCTTGGAAATTTGCCACCACTATTTAAAAAAGTTAGCTTTGCAGCCTAAATATGAGTTATAACACAAATTAACCAAATGAAAACTTCAACAAGTAGTTACAGAACTAGAACTCTAAACATGAAAGCTGCAAAAAACAGAATAGTGGGCCATGCCATTGATAGAAACTATGATGTGAATGGCACGCCCTGAAGCTGTACAACACAGCAACACTGTAGAGAGTACTTTCACTGAGCCAAAACGAAACATGATTTTACCCTTGGAAACCTTCTGTTTTAGAAGGATACTTCACAATGGCTCATAAACGCAATGATATACATGTACTCTGGGTTTGGGCAGACTTAAAAAGATGAACTTGACCTTGAGAAGTGGAGGACAAGGATACTGAAGAGTGTAGGATGCACGTAACTGAAATCATCACACACACAGAGGATGCAGCTTACCTGACATGCTGATGGATGAGTGTGGTTGAGATCCCAATGGGAAGATACTATGTCAACAGACTTTTTGGCCATGTTGAGTAAGTTCATCCAGCCTTGGAAAAGTGATAAGTGAAATGGTGCATTTTCTGAATAGTTAAGGCCTTCAGGAATATTTTCCACCAGGGCAATTCTTAGAAAAGATTTTTGAAAAAAACAAACAAACAAAATGTAGTCAAATTTGAAGCCATGGATCTTTCTTAATGCATGCATACAGATATCATAAAAATGCTATTTACTCTTTCTGGATGTATACGTCTCTAACTTAGATTTTTCCACCAGAAGCCTCTTACTTTTATCTTGTGCTAATCTAATGTGCTCTTAGAGCTTATACTTTGTTTTTCCATAGGGAGCATTTGTATTTCAGAAGATCATGGTATATATCTCAAATGTTCAGTTCCAAACCAGCCCTGAAAAAACATTCAGAGATTCTTATGCGAGCATCTTCTAGTAAGATACTTCTTGGATAACACTTGCATTACTGCAACAGCAGGATTCTACTTCTGCAAACTACTTGAGACTGTAAATTAAGCTTTGCTTATTTCCAGTTTCTACTATAATGTTGGGCAAATCCTGAAACTAAATCAATGTCATTAGTATTGCTTAACACCTGAACGTATGTTTCCCAGCCTAAGAGGTAAACTGACACCGAGAAGAAAGTTATAAAATCTGCCTTTTGCAGGATTTTACTAAAGTTGTAAAGTAAGTATGTATAAAATGATGTAATAATCAAGTTTATTTAACCAAGCCATAAATTAACTGTAATCAGCAATATCCTAGTTAGTCCATTTTGCCATTTTATACATTTTTATATCTTGACATTGTATCCACTGCAACTAGCTCTCCTTCATACAGCTGCTAAAGATGCTTTTTTCATGTCTAGCTGGTGATATACAAGTTCTTTTTATAGGAAGGAAGAAGTGTCCAGTTTAATAAAGGTATGGTATCCTGCAATTCATGCTAGAAAAACCCCAAATTCTTGAGTAGATACCTGGTAAGTGCCACCAGCTCAGGTTGTTTTAATCATAGTTGGATGCTCAGAGCCAGATACAGAGTTAGGGGCTCAGTAAACATGTAGAGAATGAATTTCAGCACTTCAATAAAATGATTCTAAAAATCTATTAAGTATACACTTGTTTCATTTGGCCAATGTTAGAAAGAAAAACAATACTATTAAGAAAATGCTTTTGTGTATTTGATGAACCTAGAGTACTAGAGCAGAATGGTTCAGTATGTGGCCTAGAGACCTTAAAATCTGGGATCCAATCTCCCTTCCACCTACCTGTAAATTTAATTAACGCTTGCTGATTGTTTACAAAAATAGGACAAAATATTACATGCAACACATAAATGGCTATACTAACTATCCCTAGTCCTTAGAACCTTATAATCTAGCAAGAGAGCCTGTCTCCCATGTGCTGACTCAACAAGAAAAGTAGACTATAATAAGTGATGAAGTAAGAGTAAGAAGTTTAATTAAATGGATAATGTATGCCTAAAGTACTGTCTGAACACTAGCAAGAAGGAAAAGTGAATTGTGGTTGAGGAGACCTGGAACTGGAGCAAGCTAGACTCGAAATGAGTCTTCAAAGACCGAATCTGTTATGAGTGACCTGGAACTGATGGCTACTCTAGGTAGAGGCAGGGGTTTGTCAATAATAATGTTTCTGAATAGTTGAGAGTCAGCTAAGCCAATGAAACAAGACAAAGGCATCATGGCAGAACTTTGTGGTGGTGGTGAAAACTAGTGAAGTCCATATCAACCACACTGAGGGAGTTATGATTAAGAGTTTGGACTTGGGGCAGGGGCAGGTACTGTGACTCGGTGGGATAAGCCTCCAGCTGCAGTACTGGCATCCCATATGGGTACCAGTTTGAGTCCTGACTGCCACACTTTTTTTTTTTTTAAAGATTTACTTATTTGAAAGGCAGACTTACAGAGAGGCAGAGGCAGTGTCAGAGAAAGAGAGCGAGCAAGAGCGAGTGAGCGAGAGAGCTATCTTCGATCCACTGGTTCACTACTCAGATGGCTACACTTCTTTCAGGGGTCTCACATGAGTGCAGAGGTCCAAGCACTTGGACCTTCTTCTACTACTCTCCCAGGCCATAGCAGAGAGGTGGATCAGAAGTGGAGCAGCAGGGTCTTGAACTGGTGCGCATATGGGATGCCAGCATGGCAGGCAACAGCTTTACCTGCTATGTCACAGTGCTGGCCCCTGCTCCACTTCTGATCCAGCTCTCTGCTAATGTGCCTGGGAAAACAGCAGAGGATTCCACAGAACTTGAACCTCTTCCTCCATGAGAGAGACCTGAATGAAGGTCCTAGCTCCTGGCTTCAACCTGGTCATTGCAGTCATTTGGGAAATAAACCAGTGGATAGAAGATCTCTCTCCATCTCTCCCTGATTTTCAGATAAATATTTAAAAAGAGTTAGGAGTTGCTTTGAGAGTTAGGAGTTGCTTTAAGAGTTTTAAGTTTGACACCTATATGATATTGGAATGGAGAAAAGGGGGATTAGAAGATGACAAATCCATAGAGAGTAGAGGTTTATGCACAAGTTCAGGAAATAAAAACAGGACATCCAAGTTAAGTCAATGAGAATAAAAACAGGCACGTGACAGACACTTTAGAAACCAAATCTTAAAACAACTTAAGTAATCTTAGTTGTCTGATGAGTCTAAGCAGAAGGAAAAAGAGAAACAGATAGTTAATGTAGACTCCCAGATTTTCTTGTAGAGTCACCATCCCTTCACTTTACTGGGTTCTAGAACCACCCCCAGAGGTATCCTCACTTGGACTGTTGCATTTCTCCAAACCATTTTTCATATACTTGGATTAATCTTTTGAAAATGCAAACTACTCTGCCTGCTGCCAGTTACACTTCCTGTGGATTTCCCCACTGCCTTTAGGATTATGACTTCCGTCCTACTCCATCATGGACAAAAAGTATGTACCAGTCTGGCTTGTCTCTCTGCAGCTTCTCTGGATTCAAATGCTCTCTTTGAATTTTACACCATAGCTACACTTAACATCTTTTACTCCAGTCCCTGCTATCCTCTCTAGATTGTGAATTTCATATGCATCCGACTAATTCTGATCCTTCCCCTCCCCACTGAGCTCTTTACCAACCTTCAAAATTCCAATTCAAATACCATCTCCTCTGATAGGCTTGCCTGTTGCCCCCAAACTAGGCTAGATACTCTTATTATTATCTCCCCTTTCATCCTACACATCCCTCTTGAAATTACTTGTTCAAGGCTGATGCTCCTTGACAGATTATATGGTATGTGAAGGCGGGTACTTGCTCCATTGATCTGGGATTATTTCTTAGAGTCTAACACAGTCAGTGTCCAGAGATTATCCACGAAGTTTCAACTAGAAAGAGGGTGGTGAGAGATAGAGACCATTAAAACTAACAAGGAACATGGAAAAGGATGTAAACTGAGGACTGGAAGAGATTATTAATGGAGAAAAGATAAAGAACAAAACAGCCCAAAGTCTAATATGGAAGAAATGTCTAGATGTTTCTGATTGGCAAAGTGCAAAACAGATAAGAAGATTCATTGGGGACCATTACAGATACAGGAAGATAAGAGAGGCAAGGAGAAAGCTGTGTCTAGGAGACCAAGGTGAGGGCATGTTGAAAGACAGAGTGGATCATTTTATCTAATTGAAAACCTTCAAAGGCAACAGAGGGTGAATTTAGATACTTTAATTCTGGCCACACTTAAAGTCTTATTATATATGCTAATAGAAGCTAGACACAGCATAAACAAACAATCCAAGACCATCAGCAGCTAGGCCTTCCATATAACCAATGACTGTATTTAAAACAATCCAACAAACAAAAGAGCATCTCCCCAACGAAATGAAACCAAACCAAAACACAGAAACTGTCAGCAAATATAATTAACTGGTTTTAATTTTACTTTAATACAAAAGACATTGATAAAGAACAGAGGCGGGCCAGCGCCATGGCTCAGTTGGCTATTCCTCTGTCTGCGGTGCCGGCATCCCATATGGGTGCCAGTTCTAGTCCCGGTTGCTCCTCTTCCAGTCCAGCTCTCTGCTGTGGCCCAGGAGGGCAGTGGAGGATGGCCCAAGTGCTTGGGCCTCTGCACCTGCATGGGAGACCATGCTCCTGGCTTCTGATCATCACAGCGCCGGCCATAGCAGCCATTTGGGGAGTGAACCAATGGAAGGAAGACCTTTCTCTCTCACCAACTCTATCAAATAAATAAATAAATAAATATTTAAAAAAAGAACAGAGGAGCTTCAAGAAGTTAACCAAATATGTGAAATGAAGGATGTAGAATAGCTCTAATTACAGCTGGCTCTGTGCCACACGTTTTTTCAGTGTCTAGTTGGCTTGCACTAGACACATAAGTAAGTCAGGATTCTCAGTCTCTTTTGGAAATCTTTTTTCTTAAAGATTTATTTTATTTATTTGAAAGGAGAGCTAGAGAGAGAGGAGAGACAGACAGATCTTCTATCCAATGGCCTCAAAGGCTTGGGGTGGGCCAGACAGAAGCCAGGGGCCAGGGACTCCATCCAGGTCTCCTACATGGGTACAGGGGTCTAAACAATTGGGTCACCTTCCACTGCTTTCCCAAGCACATTGGCAGGGAGCTGGACTAGAAATGAAAGAGCCAGGACTCCAATCAGTGCTTATATGGGATGTGGGCACTGCAGGCAGTGGCTGAACTCACTGTTCCACAATGCCAGCCCCTCTTTTGTAAATTACTAGAGCAGATTTTTTTTAACATTTTATTTATTTTTTTAAGAGGTAGAATTAGAGTCAGTGAGAGGGAGAGACAGAGAAAGGTCTTCCATCCAATGGTTCACTCCCCAAATGGCCCAACGGCCAGAGCTGCGCCCGAAACTAGGAGCCAGGTGCCTCCTCCGGGTCTTCCTTGTGGATGCAGTGGCCCAAAGATTTGGGCCATCTTCTACTGTCTTCCCAGGCCACAGCAAAGAGCTGGACTGGAAGAGGAGCAATTGGGACTAGAACCGGTGCCCATATGGGATGCTGGTGCCACAGGGGGAGGATTAACCTACTGCGCCACAGCAGTGACCCCATAGAGCAGATGTTCTTAACCTTGGACCAATGGGCAGAATTCAGGAGTAGTATGA